GGGGCAGGAGAGTGTGGAAGAGGATCAGAGAAAGCTTGACTGGCCTGTTCTATCTTGCCTGATTGAAGGAGGCACTTKAAAAACAATCCAATTCCTATTCTATATTTCTGTAGAGAGGCCAAGATTAATAGATTGTTATCATTTGTYACTGTTTACAGTGAAGGAGGAGTGAAATGATACATGGTACTGTCCATTTCTTAAACAAGGAGGGGCCATCCCTACCCTGAATTGCTTACAGTTATTGCCCAGCACATGTATGGGGGGATGCAAGGAATATGAAATTGATCCCCAGTGAGTTTAGTGTGGAAGCTTCTGATAATGTTTTAATAGTACTTATGCAAGAATTTAGCTTTCTTCTCAATAATTAATGCTTGTGAATAGTTTAATATGTATTTATTTGGTGTGTTGTGATACTGGCACATGATCAGAATAATAAGGAGTTCCGTATGCATGGAAGAGTTTTCACCTGCATGTTGACTTTTAATTCTTTTTTTAAATGCTGAACAATAAGGTTTATTCTAATTAAAAGAAGAAGATGGGTTATTCCTCCAGAGTGATTGTGGTAAAGAAATTTAATTTGTGCTGTGTTAATTTGCTCTTAACTGTTTGCAAGAAAATGACATGGTGAAACACGGCTCTGTTCAGAAATGAAAAATAAAGTATATTTGCAGTACACAAAAAAATTCTTTGCAAAATTTGCAGAAGCTTGTCTGGTGAGCATATACATCTGTGTATTGGTCAAATTACATGCTTTTAAGTGAAAGCAAGTGAAGAAAAACTACTAATTACACCGAGAGCAAATGCAAAATGGTTTCAATTTCTTGAACAGGGCACCAAGATGTAAATCATCATATTTTCACTGTCAGAAAACCCTGAGTGTTTTTTTTCCTGAGGGTAGCAAAGGTACATGTCAACTGTCTGAATAAGAAATCTCAGCGAAGGCAACACACATTAGTTTTACCATGAGGCAAACTCCCTCAGGTCAACCCCAGGCAGGGTACAGCACTCATCTTGGCAAGTCACCTCATGGTAAAACTTGTAGTGCCTCATCGTCACTGTTATTTTACCTCGAGGTAGCTGACATGCATGTTGGCTCCCCTGAGGTGAAAATGCTGCCTCTTTATCAGCAGGCCAGCCCTSGGTGTACGTGCAGCCCAACACCGTGCTCCTTGGCTGTCCCAGGTGCAGCAGTCAGCCTGTAGCTTTGCCTACCCCATCTCTTTCTGCCTCTCTGCTGCTCTGCACAGCTCACAGGAAGTCCAGCATCTCTCATTAATTCATTTCAACCCACTTCACCAAATCTGTCTCATAAAAGGTTCTCAGGCTGTCAGGGGGACCTTGTTAACTAGTTTCAGCAAACTGTAATATTATTGAAAATCACCRTGTGGTGTGTATTCTGCAGCTCTGAATATGGCACTGAGACCTCCCTGCACCATGTTTTTCCCCTGGGGCTCTCTCCAGGCTCCTCTCCATCTACTGCTTCTTCAAACATTCCTGCTGGCGGAAAGTTTGCCTTCCTGTGCTTGAYGTATCCCCACTTACATCGCTACCAGAAAATAGGGGCCTCCTTATCTCTYTTGCTCATCTCTCTCTCATTTGCTGAAGGTCTCTTATTTGTTCCTGTGCTAGGAGCTGGGAATATAATTTTCCTTCCCACCAGTCTTATCTCCCAGGCAGAGCAAAAAGAAGTAAATTATTCAGCTGACCACATTTTAGCTGTAATGGGGTGAGAAGCAGATGGTTAATAGCCATTGTTATTTTTCTTTTCAGTATATAAACCATTGCAGGGGGAAATAAAGATATTGGTTTGGCTGGGGAGAGGCATGGGGATTGCATGCATCCTGCACCTTTCTCTTTGGGTGAGCGGGTTGTCATCAAAATCATATGGTCTGTGCTTTGATTTGTAGAACTTTTCCTGAACATTGGGCTTGCCTGGAGATGACATTGAAAAGTTCCCATATTACAGGCAGACAGCTGAATGCCCTCAAGCTGAAAGTAAGACCTTGCTTGACTTAGAAAATGAATGTCATTTTTCTGGTATTGTTATTGAAGGTGGTGTTATACTCCTGTGTATCTGAACATGACAGCAGTTACAGCACGGSTAAGTGCTTATAATCAGCTGTGATAGTGTTTATTTTAGAAGTCAAATGAATCACTAGAAACCTGCTTGCTGAATGATTTTATTGGGGAAAATGATTGCCCTGCAGCTATGTAAACTCACAGACAACCAGAAAATGTTGTGGTACCAAATCATCGCAATGCCTGAGATATGTTGTAGGTATGGAGATCCTCTCAGCTTAGCAGGTTCCATTTGAGAGTTCTGCTTGTCAACTACTCTTTTTAATTTCTGTCCTAATTCTCCTTCCACTGGTGAGAAATTGTGTTTTCCCATCTCCTCTTCCCTGTAATTTAAAATGTCTACTGTTCCAAAATGCCTCTGTCAACACTCTACATTCCTATAACTGAGTTATTCTTCAACACTGATCATTGTCTTCTCCTATCAGGAAGCTATGGCAGCAAAGGGCCACAGTTTTCACATCTGTTTGACTCCCTAGATTTGATTCTAAGCTCTGCTAAACCCACCCAAGGTCAARCTCTTGATTTATTTGCGAGTTCAGACTTCTTATCCCAGGTCCTGTGAGTGATTCCTTCATGTGGGTGGCCTGTGTGCTAAAAGGCTGGGCCTTGCATTCTTCTAGCCAAGTCACATGTGGGCCTCTGGAATCTCAGAAATTTTCCACTTGACAGAAGAAGGGGACTTCAGAAGCACTGCTATAAGTACTTAGAAATATAGGCTGAGAAAATGTTTCAGTGTGCAGATACCCTACTCTTCTTTTCACTTTTGCAAAGTGGTGGCATATTTCTTTGAAACTGTAGTTTGGCATAGCTGTGGTTGTAGTCTGGTTTTGACCAGGATTTGTTTGACTGTCTGCAGAAATGGCACAAGGGCTTAGAAAGTTGCAAGATCCAACTTTAACTCGCATCAGTTACATCAGTATGTTTTGTCTTCATTGAATTTTCAATTGGCCCTGATGTCATGAAGCTTCCCACATGTCAGGAAGCTTTCCTGAGCTTCAGGATGCTGTGAAAAAATACTGTTCCTTAGAAATCAGTATGTTAAGGCTTCAGCATATGTACCAAAAGAGTATCTTTGGGGTTTCTGGATTAAAGATGCAAGTGACTGGTTTTGACTAAGTACGAGCTTGTATTATTAGAGAATGGTCTCAGCAGAGGCAAATTACCATTTACAGTTGAGAGAAGTGGCCCATTTCCTTTGCCTTTAAGGAGAACATGTTCATTTTTTCCCAAGTAGATATGAGTTTACAGTTCTTTCATACAAATGAYTTACTGTGAAGTCTTCTGCAAGCAATATGGTGGGTCATTAATGGCCCACAAAGGAGGCAGTAAGTGGTGACAAGTGTYTGCAGGTGAAAGCCAAGTAGATAAATATAAGGTACTTTGGAACCTGTTTCCTTATCTAACCTTTTAAGGTTGTCATTAACAGTTTCCTGTTTATCCTTCAGTTGAAATCTCTGCTCACCTTGAAGAGGCTGATTGTTCAGTGGGAAGACTCATTAGGAGCTGTATCTCACTCCATCTCAACCATTAGGCATACAGCTCTGAGGTTTTATTCCCAGTTTGGGATTCTAAGGCTGCTTTAAGTAACAAAATGTTGCTAAAGTCTATTGTCTTTGGCTATCAGAATTTACTTGCTTTAAAGATAAAGCAAGTTAAATTTTTTTTTGGTGTGTGTATCTTTTTTTGGCCCATTTTGAGACTAAAACCAAGAGGTATCTCAGGGGGGTTATGGTTAGCTCACGCTATGCAGAATTACACACAGTAGGAAATCTGGGGATTTCTCTCTCTTGCTTCAGTGACTCTAGCAGCTTGCCCAGCAATCCTACAGCAACATGTTGTAAGGGTCATAGGTTTGGAGCAAAGCCAGCACTAGTGTTAGCAAGCAGAATTCCTTATGACTCCACCTTTTGCTTTTTTTGTTTTGTGTTTTTTTTTTTTTTTTTTTTTTTTTTTTTTTTTTTTGCTGTGGGCCAAACACAAGCAGCAAAAGTAACATGTCTGAACCTGTTTCCTCCACTATTCTGGTGGTTACCCACTTTCTTCTCCTCAGTGCAGGGAAAGTGGGGAAAAAAGGTTTGCCTCTGCCCAGCAGCACTGCAGGTGTCTGTCCCTCCGAAAGAGTCCCAGTGGTGTGGGCGTGCTGGAAAGAAAAATCCCCAGTGACTTCACCCAGCTTGGCTTGTGGTGGTTACTCACAATAAAAGACTTTTTTTTTTTTTTTTTTTTTCTTAAGCTCTGCATGTTTAATGCTACATCTGAGTTTTTGCATATGAGTGAAACTGCAGCTCCGGGACTGATTCAGGGAGTTTTCTCTGCAGAGTAATTTTGGTGAGTAAACACAGATAAGAGGAAGCTGGGTTAATCCAATAACTCCTCCCTCAAGGGCAGGTGCAGCAATGTGGCTCAAGGTACAGAACAGAGGAAATGCCTTGTTGACACAGGTGATCAGAGCAAAGTGGCCAAAATTGATATAATGATATGAGTTTGCAATGCAAAGCCCTGCTTTCTCAAGGCTGCTATTTTCAGCCCTCCATGGCACATCTCTGGTCTTTCACCTGCGTTCAGTCAGGCATCCTGTTGTTGGTGACTTCCCAGCTCCTCTTCATGATCTCTCSGTAGCTGCATTGCTACAGTGCAGCTTGGGCTCTGCTGTGTTAACCTGAGAGGATTATTAAAATAAACTCTGAGTCATATTGGAGCTGTACGTGGGATAAGATGGTTATCAAGGTTTATTTTTTCTTATAATTAGGTCTCTTAAACATTGCCTCATTATATATCTTCAGTGACTGTTGGAAAAGTCCTCAGGGGACTAGTGGTTGTTTGTTTTCAAGGATAGTTCACACGATAAATACAGARACTTGCAACTCTGTTTAGGTTTTTTCGTTAATGAAGATTAACCAGGCATTTTTCTTTAATCCTAGGTTCTTGTCCTGATTTCTCTCCAGCCTTTCCACTGCCATTACAGCTCTGGTATCCCATAGCAAGTAAGAACATAACAGTACAACTGTTCACACGTGGGAGATGGAGGAACTGCATCAAGAGCCCATCAGATAGGAAGGTAAGAGGCTGCTTAGGTTTGTATGGAGCCACTTCCAAGTTTGGCAAGCTGGGCTAGAATGCCTTGGCCCAGGCTGAACTCAGCACTGCTGGGTTTGTAATGCCTCTAAGCAATTCTTTTCCACTCTGTCCTTAAATGTTTATCATCCAGGGCTTCAGGCATGGCCTGCTTTGTTTCTGTGCTTCTTTCTCCATGCTCAAAGGGGCTGCCTGGGAAATASCAGCATATGCTTTCCCCTGCTCTGCAGTAGCCTGAGCTTTCATGTTTCCTGTCCCTTGCCCTCTTTTGCTCATATGGCTGTCAGCTGGCTCACCTCCATCTCTCAGTGCCTCTATCTGATAAGACTGGTGCTATTTAGATACATTTTTGGGAAGTGTCGGAAAATATGCAAGGAGACATAGTTCTTTTTTCAGTTATCTTTTCTTCTAAGCTCAGTTGGGAAATCTTGATTTTCAAATTCTGCTTCTCTGGCAGTCACCACCATTTTTGCCTCCTCCTGTCTCTCCACTCACTTCCCCTTCAAAAACAGGAATCACTGGCTTGGTGCTCCCACTCAGAGCTCGTGGTCCAATGGGTGTGTGGGACACCACACATGAACTAGGAACTGCTCTGAGAGGAAAAAAAGGATGTTGCTGGCCCTTTGAGGCAGACCTCTGCCTTTCTGCTTTCCACTGTTGAATTATCTCTAACTGCCACAAGTTTTGGGTGAGGTGGTTAGATAGARCTAACTGCATAATATGATCTCTCCAGTGATAGCTTTTACAGTCAAATGTTGCAAGGTTTTTTCAATTTCTTTCTTCATTATTTTGTCTTTATATCCTCCAATACTATTTTGTTTGCTCATACTGGGATATCTAAGAGGTGTCTTTAGAAAAACTGGAGAATCTGGAATGCTCACAAATTTTAGTAGAAATGCCTTTTTTTTCTGCCTTGCTGTGTCAAAGGTACCTACATTAATTGGTGCTTGTCAGTATTCTCCTGAGTTCAAGAATTTCAGTCAAGTACTCAGGGACAAGGAGGAAATAAAATGTGGTAGAAATGATCACTCTTCTATCAAGAGCCATGAGTTATGAGCAAAGACCATGAGGCTGTTCTCTGCATGTTTTGATGGATTGATCCGTGATTATTCTGCAAACAGGAAGAAAAAAGGGGGTAATTAACAACAAACATAAAATTTGGAAWGAATAATTTGATGAGTCAGAGGCATAGATTAACTGTATTTTACATTTAGGGACTATTTGGAAAGGTTAAAGCTAGGAGGAGTTCTGGAATAGGCTGCATCAGCAAACTGGTACATTATTTACTCTGGCAAGGTTTTCAGCGGTAGGGAAGGCTATTCCAGGAGGTGTTAGTCTGGGCATGGTCAGCACTGGCTCAGAGTTTGTGTAAAATGCAGATTCAGGAGATTACTGGGCACAGAAGCAGACTTTAGGAGTTGTAAGGCGCCTCAGAACATCAGCCCGGTAGACTATTGGATCTGCTGAGACATTCTGTTCTCTCTGGAAAAGAGGAATTGGCCTGTGCTATGGAATGACTAACAAATTGTCCCTGAGGACTGGCCAGTTTGGTAGGAAAATGTTATTTACCTTAAAAAAACACAACGTGTTTTACGTGTATTCAAGATGCTAATAATAAACTGCCAGAGTAGCTCTGCCCTTTGCTCATAACTGTGGTCATCTCTTCTCCACAGCGGGACTGAGGGTTTGTCATTTGTCATTTCACCCAAACTACTCATACACTAAAACTAACAATCTGACCATCACATCTCTCCTGGGAGGCTTGGACGTGAATCATGGAAGAGGTTTTGGGTCTGTGCCACAAGTCATGGGAATTGTGGAAGGAAATTATTATATGCTAGATTTGTTTTATAGTAAACCACTTACTGTCCTAGAATTAGACCCCTACTTTATATTTTCGGGATCCAAGTCAAGGAATCCTAACTCAGGTGAAATTCCCCTTGTAGCTGGAAAGTTTGTCCCAAACATAATTTAGGTTTTATTTTTTTTACATTTTTCCCCCATTTCTTATATATTTTCTCTTTGGATTCACGCTTATTCTTTCACATGAAAAATCTGCCTTCATTCCTTGAGTGGCTAGTCAGTACTTTTTTTTTACTTATTTCTCTTCTCTTTCATATAGTTAAAAATATATGGCAGAACATCATCCCTTCACATTCGGGTCCATACATTTTTTTTTTCTCTCCTGCAAAATCTCACAGGTGAGGCCAGATTTATGAATATCTTTCAGGAGATGGCAGATACCTGGGTCAGACCCCATTTAAGGCTGGGCTTATGTTGCCCCAGGAGCTAAGGACATTCAGTATATCACACACATAAGCAGCCAAAGGGACAGTAAACTCAGCTGCAGCAGAATATCCATTTGCTGTCTGGTTGTCTACTCTGAGTAACTCAGTGGTGGAAAAAGTGAACTGATAAACCCAGTGCACAGACTGTAGTAATTTCACTAGTGTGCCTTAAAAAATAGACACTTCTCCCCCCCTAAAATAARCAACCCCCTAAAAAACTCCCAAATCCCAACCATAAGCCCCAAACACTGCAGAATGGAAAATAAAACTTCCAAATAGATATGAGTTCATTCTGCCTGAAGTGTATTGTATACAATATCTCAGGTCAGGTGTTCTGCAGGAAACTAAAATATTTAGAGAGAAGAACTTTAAACCATTATTATAGAATCCACATGGCATTTTATTATTTTGTAGAACTTGCTTTTATATATGAAAAATAATTAAAAGGAGAATACAATTAAAATGAAATTAACTAATGCTGGATGGATTTACCATAGGCAGTGATGATATCTGGAGCTTAACAAAAASCAACCTGTCATGCACATCCAAATGCTACTTTGAGATATGTGCAGAGCTTAAAAGAACTAATATTCCATTTGAAAAGAATAAAAGATACTATTTTGGAACTTATTCTTTTCTGAGACACAGCTGAAGGGTGAAACCAAGCTTTTCCATGCAGATGTATGAGACAGAATTCATACTCCACCAAATGAGACCTTTATGCTTCCACCTGCATATTATGGCTCTAATAAACACGTTATCAGCTCATGAAAATGATGGCAAACAGGTGACTGGAGGATTTGATAAGTCAGCAGCAAAGATTAACAGATTTTTCTCAAGGAAAAGGTACKAGAGATTCCTTTATTTAAAACAATTGCAGCATGTGAATTGACTGCACTTAAATCATTACTGGCAATTAGCATGTGTCAGAAAGGTTGCAGCTGGCTCCAATTACTGGTGGAACTTTTAGAAGCTGAACTTAATTGTATGTATGATAGTGAGAGGCTGAGCAATGCATACCAGTGCATGGTTCTCCTGGTGCAGAAAGGAGGGCAGGATCTTATGAGCTGGGATCTGATTATTTTAACTAGGCCTAGTTCCTGCCCCCTGGGAAATAGATATTGTAGGGGGAAATTGATGGGAACACAGGAGTTCACCTTGCTGAGCTTCTCTGGCAGGTGACGAGAACTTAAAAGCTGTGTAATACTGGCAATATTTCTCCTTTCTGCCTCTGAGGTAGGTTTGCCCAATTTGAAGTCTTGCCAGTCATATCCAGCTTAGTCTGTTTAACCAATCCATCCAGCTCAAGGCCAGCAATCTCCTGCTTCAAAGCCCTGCAGCTGTAGGCAGGGAGTCATTTGCAGCCTGGGTATTTTGATGGGGCACTCCTTCTTGTGTAATTATCATGTGTGAAAACCCTTTTCTTTATATGCTGGACTCCTTGGTATGAAGGCTTTTGGATTTGCAGCTGTGTGCCTGGGATGTTTCTGCTATAGGCACATTATCAGCACTCTCTTGGTTCTATGAGCTATGGCCTTGTGCCTTCCCCCTGGTTGTGGACCAAGGTGGCTTTTTTGTCGTTCCACTTCTCTGGTTGTGTGTGTTTCTCGCCATGTGGCAAAATAGTGATGTTTTAAATAGAAGACTAGCATGTGTCTGACCATATGTTAGGAATTGGAATTACAGTATGTTGACTGCTTTTCATACTTTCATAGAAGCAATGTGATCCACCTTGCCAGAGAAACTTATCTTTAGGCTCTTGAAGTTCTGGCTATGCCTGATGAGCCATATTGCACTGCCCAGTTCTTGTGCCTTTTAGAGGAGCCTTAAAGAATGGAGGAGAAGTTAATATTCTCATTTAGGGAGTCAGTACTGCAGGTAAACCTGATGTGTGTCCTTGTGTCAAGATGATGCCCTCAGGTGGAGCCCAGGCTTACTGCTAGCTTGTAGAGGGGCTTGTGTACATTTAGTGGAAGTAGGGAGATCATGGAAAGCATTTTATCTCTTACCTTTCTTCTCTTGTATGTCTGCTGGAGAAGAGAGGTTTAAGCTTTGTCATATGTGTAGCACTGAGTCTTAGCTTCTGYTCTCCAATAGAAAGGTGTATCCAGAGTACCACATTTTTGAAATATTTTGTTGAGCAATTTCAAAAGGTTTTTACGGTTTCAGCTGAACTTGTTAATGAACTGCAGAGTGGCTGTGTTTCATCTCCCTGTCCATTAGCCAGCCAACAGTGCCTGTGCAGGCAGAAGCTGTTCTGCAGTGTTCCGCACTGGGGCCGATGCTCAGGCGCCCCGTTGGTTCCTTGCAATGCTCATAAACCCATGTTTGATCAGCGGGACATCTACCATGAAACTCATTAGAGCTGCTATTTTGGGAAGGCGGGGTGATGTTTCACATAGCATGTGCTAATGTGCAAAGGCTGCCATGCTTGTAAAACTAAACTGGAACTTTGCTGGAGTAGCATTAAGCATTCCAGCAGTGCACACAGACCGAGCTTCTAGTAATTCCTCCAAAGTCTTCCCGTGACCGCTTTTCTACTTACATCTAAGTTCCACAAGTGTTGCTATAATGTTGATAATATGTTTTAAATCCCTAGCTCTTTCTCTGGGATTTTGAGATGAGAATAGTAATGAAGTAGCAACTGGGAGCTGGGGAAAGAGAGTCTGGTTTTCCCAAACTCTGGGAAAACATT